GGGGGTGACAGTGTTTATACAGGCTGTCAGCAGACCTGACTCGGCTTTGGGTTGGTGACATTTCAACTCTGGCCTGTTAGAACAGCTACCAGCAGATTTCGGTCAGGCTTTTCACGACCTGCTTTTCTCTCTCACACCAAACAACCTTAACCCTCTTTCCTTTTCCCCCGTTTTCTTGCGTTTTGCCCTGTTTCTAATCTTCATAACATCAGGGGCGCTCGTGTTATTATTAGGATGACTCAAGAGATTGACTCAACGTGGATAAAAAATTATGAAGAATCACTGCCCGGACCAATTGGAACTATGCGGCTCTACTTTGTGGTACTTGTTACAGTAGGGTAAAACACATTTGGTTGTCATTCACAACGGGGGAAATGATGATTCATTATGCGCCATCGCTTGGGTCTTTTGGGACACTGGCATTGTATGATGGCAGATCCCCCACCCACTCATTCTTCTTTATTTCCCTCTCTTCCCCCTCCTAAGGGGCGCCTGGTGTTTGTGGCACCATCACTGTGGCCCGCAAGGGTAAATGAGTCCCATGTGTTTGATGGAGGAGAGCAGTCGCAGTCACGCAATACAGCCCATGGAGGCATTCCTCCAGGAATCCATCCTTAACTCTGGGAGGGACTAGTTTCAAAGAACTGCCGTCTCTCTTCTCTCCGTCACTCTATTTTGCTTTCTCGTCCCTTTACTGCGCACGGTCTGTGGGCAAATAGGAGATTTCGGCAGATTCTGGAGATAAGCCCCTCAGAGGAGTGAGGAGTGGGGCCCGCTCCTACGAAGGTTACCCCCCCCCCCCCCCCTTGTTTTGATGTTTTGGTGTTCTGTTGCATGGTGACACCAGACAGAGAGACGCATGCCTGAAATTTTATTGTTTCCAAACCATCAGTGCCATCAGAAAAAAAACTCTTGATTTAACTTTACACCAGCGGGAATACTGAGAAAATAAGTGACATGGAAAAAAAGAGACTGAATTTTTAGTTGGATGATTGATTTTCAGATGTAAGCCAATTCAGATGTCACGCAGTTCCATGTTGACCAATCCAAACTCTGAATTAGTTCCAAATATTCATTATTTGTCCTTTGAATAAATACAAATGATTATTTTTAATTACAGCCGAAACCAAGTGTGGCTGATGTCTAATGAAGAAAAACAGTTTTTAATCAGGGTCAACTGAGTTCCTTGCAAATCTCCTGAAGACTGGTTCTGTGAAAAGAAGATAAATAACCTTTCCATATAACTAAATACTAAAAATTAAGATACACATTATATCAATACTAAAACTTAGCGAGGGCTTCTAACGGGGAGAGTGTGTGGAATGTGTCTGAGGCCAATTAGTGTTTTGTAAATTTGTTTTGTGGTCTAATTAGGGTAATATGTTTTTTCTCAGGAACAGAATGACTGTTGTACAGCCATATAACTGCTCCAAATTTCCCTTTCTCGCTCAGTTTGGTATTCCTAAAATGGTTCATATGCTTTATATTTTGCACACTGTTAAGCACGACAACAAAACCTAACCTTCTAGATGTATGTATCGCAGTTCCTGTAACATGTATTGGAATTGTAAGGAACTGATGAATTTCCTTTGTTTTTCGCACAGTCCTAAAGACTTGAAGATGGTTATAATTATTCCTTACACTGTGGTCTCATGTGACCAATTCTGCAAAAAGGATTTTGATGCTAATGCAATTTTACATGACCCCTTGAGAGCTTCTGTGAAATCATAACATTATAACTCAGTCTTTCTGTAAACAACCCATCAAAAGAACGGTGGTATCCTCGATGAGGAGAAAGCATCCGTTAGCAGCTGGGCCTGAATGTAGTCACTGTGAACCTGAGGTGAAACCACAACCACACACTCATCTTTAACATTTCACCCGAGCTTTGAAGAAACGGGCCAATGGCTACATGGCAGGTTGACTCCGATTGGCTATAACGCACCACCTGAGTTTGATATAAATAAACAATGTGGAGGTTTTTCGAGAAACCGTACGGATGATTGCTTGCACTGTGAACTGGTTGCAAAGTCATTGCAGGGCTGGCATGGCTGAGCAGAGGTTCCAGTTGTAGCCATGGGAAGGTTTGTGATCTCCCTCCAGTTTGCTGAGGCATCTGCCAAAGAGCGCAAAAGGTGACCCCACTCGTTCAAACCGCCACCATCAAACAGGCAGCTGCACAATCTGTCCGCCCGCCAAGACATTCCGCCGCACCATGAAGCATCCCCCTTAAGTAGAAAATAACCTTCAATAAATGCACGGCGGAGAGACACTCCCACACAAAACAAAGTCGAGCAAAATGCCAGTAGGCATTTGTCATCCTTCACGGCCACAGGGCCTGCAGTATTGAAGGGTAACATGTAAACAGTACAATTTCGGGGTTTTTCTGGTTTCTACAACTCAGCGATGACAAAATCTAAAATGAGCGGGTTTAACACCAGAGACAAATGAAAAGTATGCTCTGGCGCGCTCACTGCGGTGAAACCGTTGGAGACTATCCAGGTGGAGTACAAACTTCCAGTACGCAAAGAAGGTGCCGGAGGGCATTCGCCAACATCATTACAGTGCCATCTTTTCCTGATCTACACAAAGAGCTCTCTTTCTGGTTATTAAAGTGAATTCTTTAATAACCTATTTTTTTTACTGCCTGAAAAGTCCATAAAAGCTACAAAGACGTCCCAAAGAAATCCCTAATTATCTCCTTTCTTACAGAACCAGTAAGGTAATCCATTTCAAATTTTATTGACCAGTTAATGCGGCGGACCGATAATCCATTCGTAAATAACACAACCAACTGAGGCCCCCCAGGGACCGGTTCTAGTATCCCCAGCCTTCTCGCCGGTACATGGATGGAGTCCAAACACAGCTCCTACCACTCCACCGAGGGAGGGGGATTCATGCATGGCTATGTGGCATGATATTTTAAGGTCAATTAACAGTGAGTCAGCGTTACTGATCTCTCAAATGGTCTGTGGGTCATTGTTGGACGGTGCCACTCGCCGGGTTGACATCACTGAAAAGCTGCCTCCGGGACACGGGGTTTGTTCTTTTCTAGGACGGCCTGTTATAGCAAGTTGCGGGCCGGCGCAGCTGAGATGACATAACACGCGCCATTATCTTCACCACAACCTTTGCACTACATTACAAGCAACCTTTCAAAGCCATAACTAAGAGGTATAAAATAGACTTGAATGTCGGACTAAATGGAAGGGATCCACGATGAAAAACGGCCTTGTTTGCATTTTAAATCAGGGCTCTTTTATTACACTCCGCCTGAAGAGGACGAAGGGAGTGAGGCGTTCGAGTTGCCAATGAGCTTTCTGTCATTGATTTTTGACGAGTCACTGTACAAATGTGGACCGAACGCGGGATTTATTTAGCGAGTTTCACAGCTAACTAAACAAACCTGGGCTTTTCTAAAAGCAATTTTGTTTGAAAGCGCGGACTAATGGGGAGCATAAACACTCCAAACTGAGGGGAGATAAGTGTATCACGATGAATTATGTCGACAGTTTTATTGTAAGTAATATGTACTCTGTGTTCACACGCGGTATGTCTCTACATCGCTATCTCTTCATCAGTACATTCGATTGTGGTGGACCACCCGAGGGGAGCGTTGAATATTTGAGTGTGGGGCCGTGGGCTGGAACGGACCCTGTTTTGATTAGCTGTAGACGTTTCCACAGAAGGATTATTCGAGGACGTGGCGCTCTCTGGTGGGCCCCTCGCAGTCTCGTCATGATTCATGGAAATGACAGCCTGCTTGAGGTGAAGGAGGGAGTTGTACGCCTATCTCGACGGCTATCCTCGAACCCCTCACCAGCCACAGGCCCAGGAGCAGTTACGTCTCACACGGAGGGCCGACATTCCACCGGCCGCTGTTGATGGCCGGCCCGGATGGCCAGTGACTACCTGCACAAACCGTCCACTTCCATTTCTTTCATCCGGCCATCTGGCTGCCAACTCTGGGCTGCCGGTGCCAGCACAGAAGACGTTTGTACCCCGGGGCAGGATATGAAACAGAGCGGCATATTTCCACCTGCGATGGAAAAATGACTGGAATTTAGCTGCGGTGTCTTAAATTTACAGTTTTCCCAAGAGGGTAGGCGTGAATCCCGAGGAGAAGACGCTGGGGAATATGCTTTTCTACCATTTGATAAACATAAATAATACGCGATACAATCTTCTTCTCCCATAAAAACAGGAAAGAGACAGCCGTGATTAATGGAGCTGTGGAGGGATTCCGTGACAAATACTTCCTCATGAAAAGTACTAGTTATTTGGACACGTCCAAGAGATGACTAAACACACGCTGACTGTTTAATTCCACTGTTGTCTACTGATTGTGTTGTACTTTGGCTCTGGACCAAGGGATACTTTTCAGGGAGCTGCTGACTCAACCAAAACCACAAATCACATTAGAGCCGTATCTAGATGTTCTGCAGTTATATAAATATTTTTCACTGCGCGAGGGGAGAAACATCACATCTAATCTTCCCCCGTAAAAAAGTCTGTCAATAACTACTAAATAATAGCAAAAAACTAGATCAGCGTATAATTTACTTGACGGTGAGGTAAAACAAAGCAAAACAAAACATCACAACAACTTTATCATAGAGTTAGTGGGAGGTCTTAGCCATCAACCCACAGATGGATGGGATCAGCTTTCCCGTTATAGGCTCTGGTCGAGCAATGCTTTGCACATTGGTTTGTCTTCTCACATGTTTTCATGTCGCAAAACGCTGCTGTGAAGATAACGAGCTTAAAGCCGGGTCTGTGGATCGAAAGTGTGTCTACCTGAATGGATTCAGAGAGGTCACTGCGCCTGTCGGGAGGACTCGTGAGCTGTGTGAATAGGAATCCCTATTTTCAAGTTAGAAGTGTATTCTGGGGATTGTTAATTGCCTCTTCTGTCGCTTTCGATAACCCGAACGGCGGGGCCAAAAATAACGACCAAAGGTAGTCTGAGTTCACACACTTGTTCATTACTGGAGCCTCGGTGTCTGCCGCTCCCTCACATCCCCGCGAGCCGGAATACCGCCGCCGGAGACGCTGGAGATACTGGAAACTAAAGCTTCCCCGGTGTGACACGTCAGCCAGACTCACACAACGGTTACGCAACGGCGGCCGAAGCACCAGCAGCGCAAACCACTAAAATAAAAAAGCACGAGGGGCCTTTCGACGCACCGCGGACGCCCGGCCAAAGACGCCATCACCCAGGGGCCTCCGTTTGGACCCGCGACGCGCCACTGGTGCTAACACGCAAAAGCTGCATCCAATAAGCATCCGACGGGGTTTCGGAGGGAAGAGAGGTGGCTCCTCGCAAACAGCTCTTTCATGTGGCGGTCGGTTTAAGTGCTCTAATGCTCGGCGAGACACTGAGGCCTAGCGCGGGGAAACGGAACAATGCATTCAACCACATGAAGCACAGCGCCCGGGATTACTTCTTCACATATTTTCTCTGCCATTTCTCTCATCACACGTTGTCTTTCTCCCTCTACTATGCAATTCCCCACACACAAACACGTACACACGCATTCCCCAAATGAGCACTGCTGCAAACGGGGATCATTTAGCCTAAATCCGCTTCGCACACATGCACACAGGCGCTCACAGGAGATGATAGATTATGAAATAAGTAGAATTACACCATTGTGCGTTCCAACAAAAACATACTATTATGAGTGAGTGCTTTATAATTATGACCGCTCGCACAGTGAGTTATGTGGATTCACGCTGACGATGAGCCCTTTTTTCTCCCGCATCTTCGCATGAATTTGGATGTGTTTGATAAGCACACATCTGTTTCGGCAACCGTACAGTAGAGGAACACTTGTGCGCTCCCACAATCGAGCCTTAACCAGAGACAGCCACACACCCGTCCCTCTCCCCCTCTCCCTCCTATTCCGTGGAGCCAGATGTGCGTACTGACAGGCTATCCCCTTCATCCATCATTAGCGCGAAAACGGAGAAAGAAGCCGTCCTTCCACCGCCACCCGGCCTGCATTTCAGCGCACAACCAAAACAAAAACACTCCGACAGACCCAACAATGTGTCAACCTGGGGTTGAGCGCGCCGTCATCCGGCCGGGGCCAAGCCTCAATCCGGCTCTCCCACAGTCATGCAGCAGCCTCGGGTCACCGCCAGACTAAAAGATGGGAATGGCATCCAGCCAAAGACACGCTGTTGTTACACTCGTCCCGAGATAATATCAATGCACCGCTCTTTTTTTTTTGTTTTTGTGCAACGGTGGCAGCCACTCAACAGGTAGTTGTGATTAACTGCCTGTCAGACGCAATCACTTGTGCGTACGTAAGCACACGTGTGGATTAATTCACGCCGATGCCGGACATTCGGAGCGGATTGACTTATTGTGGAAAAACAGTGATCTCCCGGATAAGCGTAGCCATGGATAAGTGAATAAAATGGTACTTTGTTTGACCGCAGCGCCGAGAAAAACGCACGCCAAATATTTTTTTGAGACAAAAACAAGCCTTGGTCTGTCTCGCAGAGCCACTGAGAGGACAGGAATCCCAGCGCACAGACACACAAGAGTCCCCTTGAAGATGCTGACAGCTACATGAAGCCGCACTCTTGCCAGGACCATCCACAGCTATGTCACATTCACTCATGTCAAGAAACGGTGGAATATTCTTATCCCTGTTCAACGAGTGCATGTGGGCCTGATTTGTAGGAAAATAAACGGCAATATCTAGAACTTACCTCCTTTTTTTTTAAAAATAGAACGCCAATAGTCCGTTGGAATTTGCATAATAAAGCTGGTATCGTCAAATTGGACTCACCTACATACACTCCATTCTCTACTCGCTTGAAGATGTCAAAGGAATTCTCAACGTTGCCCTCCAGAATGTCAAACTTGACGTCATAAGTGCCCAAGTGATAGGACCCGTAGGCCGGGACAGTCGTTCTCAGGAAGACAATCTCTGTTGAAAGATAGCAATTAGACAGAGAAACGTTTTTGAAAGCTAAATAAAGACTAAACGACTAAAATAAACGACTCAGGAACTGCTCTGCCAAGCCATCACTTGACAATAAAACGAGAGGTTCAGAGAAAGGTTGCAGCTTTTCTGTAGGGTTGTGCGGCCGTAGGGCCCGGAGCCCTTTACACCCCAACTTGGAGATAATGAGAAATGACAAGAGCTTGAATCTCTGTGACGTTGAGCATGAGTGGGCCTGGAACATGCAGTACAAGCTGGTAAATAGATGTTTGTCGGCTGCCGTTGCCTGTAATGGCTACTGTGGTTACTTGTTTTCAACCAGCATAACACTTAGGGCAAGTCGAGCATATTTTTTTAGGGGAGGGAGAAGAGGTAGCTATGGAATCAAACAACTACAGGATACTGTAGTCGAGAGGTACCCTTAGGTTAGAGGAGGTACATCTGAGCATAGAACAACAATTATATGAAATTGAGGAAATGTTCTTATACTTCATTTAGCAAATTCAGCAGCATAACAATTATGCAAAACCATGCACATTTTTTCTCCTTATTGCTGCACCACGTCAAGTCAATTTTGAATGTCGGTGCATGTTAAGCTGTGCTAAAGCTGGACTCTGTTTGCTTATTTTGTGCTGCGCCAGGATGAATAGAAATGTTTTGGTCGTTTCAATTACCAATTTTCATCTTGTTATTTTGCCAACATTAACCGAAAAGATGTACTGATTAAGGGGGTACGCTCGTTAAAATACCATCCTCATTTGAGTTGAGCTTTGGTTAGAATACGGCCGTAACTTCACAATGTGTGATGCCACAACAGTGTGGGCTGCGTAATAAAGGACAATCAGAACAATTTGCCGCCTTAACGTTTAGTACAGACTAAATCACAGCTCGGTGAATATTTTAAAGTGCTTATGAAATCCAGACTTTTTAGGAGCAGTGATGGTCTTGGACACATAGTCAGAGCATTGAAGTCCATTTAATTCCAGCTGTTTGTTAGTATGATTGCAGTATGTTAACAAGTATTTTCAACGTTTGGTTTTACTTTAACAAAATAATCTAAATCTAAAAATGGTTGTGATATCTTTTATATATTAGTTATATATTATAGTGACTTTTTGTATCATTTGAGTTTGGCTGGGTAGTTAATAGCATATTTTTCTGAGAATTGGCCAATCCTATCAGAACTCTGACTTCAATGTAACACAATGATGAAAAGATAGCCTTAATGTTTTCTTGAACTAAACGAGACACTTTGTATGAACATCCCTCACCAAAACTGGAGTTGTACCTACCTTCTGGTCGCGCGAACTCTCGGAACGTGGGCAAGGAAATGAAGGTGTGGGATACGGAGTGTGTGGGGTCCAAAACACAGGCGATGTCATTGGGCTGACAGGATTTTATACAGCGAATGGTGTCGGAGCGTTCGAGGCGTGCTGCTCTGAAGAGGAGAATAAAACACATATTCCACAAAGAACGGTGAAAACACAAACATGCGTACAGTCTACGTTTAAGTGTTTAAAGGGAAGCGGCCTTCGTTTTTACCAGATAAAACAGCGTCTGTGGGTTGAGGGGAACTGCACAATATAGAACTGTGTGGGAAATCTCCAGTTGCTGCGAGACAAACCGTCTCAACCAGCCAGCAGGGGTGCTGGACCTCGCACTCAACATAGAAAATAATCACATTCTATGTGGTTTTTAAAGAACAACAAACCCGCAATAGCCAGATCTCTCACTTCACAGCTTGTGGAGGCTCTCGCCGACCATTGATGATCTTCCGATGCCCCGTTTCAAGCTGTGTGGGAAATGAATTACTCCACTCACAAAGAATGATCCACAACCTGCTCAGGAAAATATTTGGATTTGCCTCGCATCCCCAGCTTCACATCAGATAATCTCTTGAGGAGGATTTATGTGGCAAGAGAGTGTTCTAAAAAGACTCCTAAATTGTGAGTAACATGACTAGACAACTCCCCGGCCTCTCCCAGGGAAGCTCTCATCCTATTATTTAGGGCTTTGTTTATTCCACAGACTAATCAGTGACAGGTCAGAGAGAACGGAGGGGCTCGGATGGCTCCTAAAGCTAACACCACCTGGAGCGTCACTTTTTTTTGTTGCTTCCTGTCAGCTTCGTAAAGCTTTGAGAGTGGTTTTTAAAGGCATTAATAACCTCGTAAATCAGCCGCTCGGCTTTGAAACAGCGGGGAAGATTTAAAACAAATGGAAGTGTTGATTATGAAATTTAACCCGTCAAACTCGGGCTCAGCCCCGAGAGCGGAAACAAGCCCGTGCACGGTCGCGCCGGGTTAAGAAAACATCCCCGCGGCCTCGCGTAAGTCGAATGAATGCGCACGGCCACATGTGAGTCATGGGCCGTGGATCTCCGGCGCTCCTCGGGGGAGCAATCCGCTAAAGCCCAGAGCCCGGGCCCAAAGCCTCGGGTTGCAGGGCTCCTTTCATGGACGGCGAGGGGGAGAAGCCCCTGACAAGAAGTCAAGCCACCGCCGGGCAGGGGCTTGTAATTAGCAATTAGCGGGTGGGTCCAAGTTTGACTTCGGCTCGTGCCAAACCCACAAAATGTTCTCCTCGTTTAGAATACCGCGGCGAGCAGCAGCGAGGCCCGAGCGGGACTCTGGAGGATGAGGTGAAAGCTGTTCGGTTTGAGGGTGAATTTACGAGAGGACAGTGACCCAAGGTGAACTGGACGAACACATCAAAGAAGGGCCAGTGAGGAAAGTTTGTTCCAATGATTTTTGTGTTTTTTTGCAGATTTGCCTATACTTTTTTAAATCAAGTTTCTAATCAGGTCAGTGGATTGGCGTGGAAAAGCCGCGCCATTCTGCATGTGCAAAAAGTGAACACATGAACACATGCATGTCCTCTTCATCTCCCCGTGCCTCACGTGGCCCTGCCCCTAGAAGAAGAAAAAAAACCCCCAATACTTTCAAACCAGAAAAGGAAAACAGACTTTTCTGGATGAAAGTGCTCTGGTCAAGCGGACCGGGCCTTATATTTTTTCGGTAATTATTATTTATAGCCGGCACATTGATAACGCCCCAACACAAACACTGCAGGGCATCATTCATTTGGTGCGCGGTGATGTTGCCGGACCACAAATTGTTCAGACCACCGGCCAGAGCCCAGAGCCCCATAACTCAACGTCAAAGGGGGAGGAAAAAACTCCTGCTGCACCACTGTGCTCTTATTTTAAGGATATCCCCGCTAGGAACCAAGTGCATCTTTACTGGCCTGACAGCTCAGGACAGGAGGAACCTAGGACATCTGAATTTACAGTTATTAAAAGCCGCAGCCTTCGGGCAGCGGCCTCACAGCATGTCTGGCTATTTATACTCTCCCCGGCTGGTGCACATTTCCCCCCTCGACTCCGCCACTGCATCCCATCGTGTGTCACTTACTCAGCCTTCATTTTGGATTATCTGTCTGCTTTTGGGGTTTACACCCGCAGTGTGCAGTGGAAATCTGTGCATTTCACATTAAGCCAGAAAAAAAAATGGAATGGAAGCTAAAGAGACATGCCTCAGAGAGATGTAGATGTGGTCCAAAAGACTGACGTTTGGGAAGTGGGAGTAGCAATACATTAGATTAGACCCAATCTGGTTTGTGACTGCAGTTTGGAAAAATTGAATTATTCTATGAATGTTTAAAAAATGAATAAAAAATGTAGGTGCAAGGACTGATTGTACTCTTTGTAAAAATCATATAAATAAGATTGTAAATCTGGCTATTGTCTGTTTTATTTTGTTGACAAAATATCCATGATTTGGTAGAACATTTCATCAAAACCTCATTTGGAAAATTAAATTAAAATCTTACCTTGTGTGAAATGTCATTTCTAAATTTTTAACTCCTTTTGTAATCAAATTAACTCTTTTTTTTGCATCGGTCACAGAAAGCCCTTATATGTTCAAATACATGCACCATGTGTGCCAAAGTTTGAATTCCCCTTTTAAAAGCGTTTGATTGAGTTGACTGGACTAAAGGAATCATAAAACTATGCAGGAGAAATCTTCATGCCTACAGCTTTGGCTTGGCCTTGCATAATAACTGCTCCCCTTGCTGCATTAGATTAAAAACTGTACTTGACTTGAACATGTGTTATTTCTATTTGACTTTTAATAGAAAAGTGTTCATCCAGCACATAAACCATAAAATACTGCCAAATGTCAGACTTTATCATGCAAGCGTCGTCAAATTACACTCACTTTAGGCGCGCTTTAGCTGTAACCATTTTATGACATTACCCTAGCCTAGAGCGCCACCTACAGTAGCAGGCCTGACAGTGACCTGACTACAAAAAAAGAAGGAAAAAGGAGGTGGTTGGTTCATTCAACTTAAACATGAAACTTAATCTTAGTTTTTACGGATAGAAAATGTTAATGTACGTTAAAAACTGAGTGTATTTTTCTTTTATAATAAGCCTTAGGAAGAATTATGCCAGAATAAAAAAGCAATTATGTGTGCTAACTTATGTATTGCAGGTATATAACAGATAAACCTGAATTAAAGTCCAAAACGTGCTGGATATTGGGAAAGACCAGACATAATACCCTTTAATGGCACTAAATATGTAAGGCACTGCACATAACTCTTAAGCCAGATCTAACTTCCTCATATTTTGCTTCCAAGCAGTCAGACTTTTGTGTAATGTCTTTTACTTATCTTGAACAACGGTTCTCCAGGCTTTTTGACAGTCTTTGAAAGTTTTTCATTGGACATCAAATGTGTTTTCTTTTTTGTTGGACCAGTTTTGTGTCTTTACGTAGACACAAAACAATCCCAAATGTCCTACCATTGTTTCAGTCGCATCTACAAAAAATGACCAAATATAACACAGTTTATAAGTCATCCACAAGTTTGATTTTCAAAAAGCTATGAAAGAGAATGGCACAAAATGCATTCTAAATATGCACACTGAAATGTCCAATCAAAAGCTTGGGGAGTTATTGTTAAGGACTACTTCAAGAAATTGGCCAAAGATAAAAAGGTAATACCAAATATTCACCTTCAATCTGACTAAAATTTAGTGATCTCTCCTTTTGGCAGCTAAACTGTCCCCTTAACTTATTCTTTCTGATATTTTCAGTAAATCTATGCATTTACTCGTCTCCTATTGGGCAATGAATGAAGAAACAAGGGGGGGCTTGATGCTTTTTCAGGACTGTAAATGCATTTATCTCTACTTCACGTTCTGTATTCATGTTTGCATGATACCACTCTCCACCTTACATTATCATTCTAAACAAATTAACACACTATCTTGCATTTATTGAAACAATTTCCTTTTTTTCCCAGTAATCTGCAGTAACTATGACAAGTCTTTTTTTTTTTATAAAAGGGTGTAATAGCATGAGTTAGCCCCAACGCACATGTTGAATTTTATTCTAAAAGGGGATTGTAAGGGACTCTGGGCTCCTCCTGGGTAACGAACACCAGAACTTTAGCCAGGTATGTGGTGACCGTGCCGTAGCGGTGCAGCCTCAGCTCTAGAGACAGAGCGAAGTCCTGCGGCTTGCTGATCAGCTTTGCCACCGACATGACCCCCCCCGTGGGCTGCTGCTCGGTCTTGAAGTAAGCGCCCTCGTTGCCGGCGGTGATGGCGATCTGGATGTCGTCGCCGGGCACGACGTGAGAGGGCCCCATGCGGAAGATGTTGGTGAAGACGGGGATGTTGGTGGGGAAGGTGAGGTAGTAGTAGGTTATTCTCAGGGGCATGGTCAGGCACTGGTCAGACTCATTGCAAAGCAAGCGTTCACATCGGCTGCGAAAAGAGAGAGAGAGTCCGGGGCGGGACAGGACAGGAGAGAGAGAAAGGGTGTAAATCAGACCTGCCGTGCGTGGCATGCAGAGAATGGCACATCATTTCAGCAGCATAACGTCAGCTACCGTTACCGGGCATGCAAGGAAATCTATCACTACTGCTTCCAAACAGGGCCGGGGACACGGTCTCAAGTGGAAATGTGCTGAGACCGCCGTATTCGTGTGCTTTTCTTTCCATTTCCGTAAAACCAAAGAACATGCTACAGCCAAATCGATTCGGAAGTCATTCCAGCACTGTGCATCATCAAACACATGCAGGGGGTTGATTCGGAATGCGGGGAATGGTTCGAAAAAGGTCTGATACCACTGAGTCTGAGCCCAGAGCTCTGTGTTGAGGAACGCTGGTCTTCTTGAGTTGCGTGTATCTGTGTACAACCCTGGTGCTTTGATGAAGAAAACACAGTCGGTACTCACGTCTCTCCAACCCGTCGGTAGTTGTTCGGGCAGTCGAATCTCAGGCAGCGGAAGCCTCCCTGTATGTTGAAGCAGCTCTCGTCCTCAGCGCAGGTGTGCGTTCCCGTTACGCATTCATCGATATCTGGGTTGGGCAAAAAGGTGAAAGAGGTTTTTTGTTTTTTTTATTTAAACCCGCACGGACACAACTTCCACAATAGTTGAACGTAAAACTGTAACCAACACATCAAACATCCCATTGGGTTCAGCTTACCCTGGCAGCTGCGCCCGTTCACCGCCAAGGTGTAGCCAATGACAGGACAGGAGCAGTGGAAGCTGCCCGGTGTGTTGTGACAGCGGTAGGAACAGATATGACCCCCGGTCGGTAGCGCACACTCGTCTATATCTGAAAGGGTCAGGGAAGCAGATAGAGAGAGGACCATTAGTAAAAGTCAAAGGACTAGTCGTCATCCTTTGCGAAATACATGATCGAATACAAATGTATCCATCTTGCCTTCACAAGTCATGCCGTCTATGTCGCTGAGCTGGTAGCCACGGCGACAGTAGCACTGGTAGGAGCCGTACACGTTGGCACACTCTTGGCTGCACGGGTTGCTCTCACACTCATTCAGATCTAAAAAAGGAGAAGGTGAACAAAGTGCCACTGAAAGCTTCATCCCAGCAGCAAACCCCATTTTGTGTTTTTTCGAGTTTCCTGAACAGGTCTTTAAAATTTCCGAAAACACATTGCCTGTATTCTTACACGATGTAATTGCGATGTTTTTTTATGTTCATTGAGATTCTAGGATCAGTTCCTACGATCCAATGACCCAATTTCAACCCCAACTTTAGCTCTTCTCATGTACATCGTTTCCTCACCGTCACAGTTCCTGCCGTCGCCGGCCAGCTTGAAGCCAGTGGTGCAGCTGCACTTGTAGGATCCCAAAATGTTCTCACACTTGTGCGCACACAGGCGTCCCGGGTAGTGCCTGCACTCATTAATATCTGAAACACCAGAGTTCAAACACAGGTAAAAGACCGAACCCTCCCGTCTTGCCTCACAGTCAAAGTCAAAAAGTTTTATTTACCCATTATGGATCGATTGAATTTTTCTCTAAAAAACATTTTGTTTTCCACCCAGCGCTTACCTTCACAAAGGCGAGTGATGCTGTTGAAGTTGTAGCCCGACTGGCACTCACAACGGTAGGAGCCCAGCTGGTTTATGCACCCGTGACCTGCACAGACTTCTTCGGTACCCTTGCACTCATCGATATCTGAGGAAAAAATGGACCAAAACTACTGAGACCGGCGTAAAGTCCAGCTCAGCTTAGGATCGCTAGGATGCTGGCATGTAGAAACAGAACAAAAATAGCCCTTCCAGTCGTACCGATACAGCGCGTGCCGTCCTCGTTGAGGTGGTACCCTCGGCCACAGTTGACCGAGTTTCTCTGACAGATGTAGGAGCCCACAGTGTTGATGCAGGTGTTCCCTCGTTGGCATGGACTCACCTGGGCAACGCATTCGTTGATATCTGAAAATACAGAGACAGGTGACATTTCTAAAGTAAGATAAGCTCTGTTTAACCAAACACAACACAGTTCCCCTCATAGTGAGAGCGGGATATACGACATCTTTATTCTGTGGATTATTAAGGAGTGTTTCGAGACGGATAAAAAGAGGGAAAAGTTTAAGAAATGGTTTCCGTAGTTTTGGGGCAAATGCCAAAAACCAGAGAGGATTCTGAAAAGAGCCAGTGAAAGATACAAAAGATGATTTCCACTGAAAATACCTCAAATTACATGTGATCCAACTATACTTTCTAGTGGTTTTTTCACTCCAAAAATTCAAACTAACATTTTGAGAGGTGGGAATGCCGTCGGCTGCAATGTAGCCTTCAATAGAAATACTGGAAAAATTAGTGTGAAAAATGGTGTCCAGTTGAGTGAAATCAAAGCAAATCACAGGCAGGATTTGCTCAAATTAGACGTAAAAATTGAAAATCTGAGAATACAAAGGATTCCAAAGATTTCCAAAGATTTCCAAAATCCAAAGATTTCTTGTCTTTGAAAAGATATTATGGCCCCCCCAAACATGTGTGTCAGCCTGTTGGCGATGTAATTTCTCTTACCGATGCAGCTTCCGAGGGCATCCTGGATAAACCCGTCCCCACACTTATTTTTGGGGAGACAGCGGAATGAGCCCTGGGTGTTTTGACACTCGAACTGAGGGCCGCAGTTGTGAATGCCCGTCTCGCACTCGTCGATATCTGAAAGAAGTTACAGCATAGACGCCGGTGAACTAACGATATGGCCGACGGCGTTATTGTGCAGAGGAGGGCGGAGTGGCGGACCTTTGCAGTTGTTGGTGTCTGTGAGCTCGTAACCCGTCCCGCAGCTGATCTCCCTCTGGCAGCGGAAGGAGCCCTCCGTGTTGATGCAGCGCTCCCCGCCCCTGCAGTTATTCGATCCAAGCAAACACTCGTTGATGTCTGGAGGAAGAGACGAAGACAAAGGCATAGACGAAGGAGGGGAAAAATTAAGAAACAATGTCCTATCACCTTTCAACGATTCATTTATCCTGGCTGGACGTTGTCTTTTTCAGCTAAGAGAAAGAGGAAAAAACCTGAATCTTAAATGTCCTCTGCAATTTACCTTCGCAGTTCTTTCCATCTGGTTTGAGTTTATAGCCTTTGAAACATGTGCATGTGTCATTGGCCACACACTGATGAGCACACTTTCCTAAAAGGTGGAGAAAAAAGCATGTTAACAACTGATCATTTAGCCTCAGAAATGTTTTAAAATGTTCATCGTAAGTGTCCTTAATGGTTTGGTGTTCACTCTATACCTGTGCACTGATCGCTTAGCACGGAGTTATCTCCATTTTCAAAGGCGAGATCCTGGCTTTTAGCTGTGTGTGAAAAAAAGTTATTAAGCACATCTTAAAAATAAAACATGGACTATCTATGTGTATGTCTATTCAAATGATTGAAAATACGGTCTTTTAATGGCCGTCCTCATAGAGACAGAACCATTAGTTTTCATAAACATTGCAGTCTAATCAGACTCAAAGCCTACTTGGTATCTAAAAAACAAGATTTGGTTGAACATTTGCCTGACTATTTTCTTGAACCAATAATGAGCCTCTATGGCCGTCTCATGCATGGGCTTTAGCTTAACCTTATCGGCTTGTGTAATAATGCAGGAAAACATAAATTCCTCCTTTAAACACAGCCACAATCAACCTGTGAGGAAATTTCAACATATAACCACCAGAGGGCAGTAAAGTCTTCTATTTGAAATCAGCTCTTGTTTCACCACCAAATCATTCTGGTTTAATTCAGCACAAGCTTTATTTTTACCACTTGTACTCTCTCTATATGTAAAAATGTTGTTTTGTTTTTTTTAAAACCCACGTTCGGTTTGTGGTTCTTGCGTTCTGTTATTGGCCACAGCTTCATCCACACAGCAGGCCCGCGACACCAGGCTGCACGAGAAGCCTACGGCATGGTTGGAGTCGCAGGGCATGCCCAGCTCGTGCATTGCCTTCCCCAGAAGACAGCAGTCACAGCACATCTGGGAGAAACAGACACCTCATAAAACATCTGCATACTGAAGAGTCTCACACTCTCATAGGGGGAAACATACTTTTTATATCAGGAATATACACGAAAGAGAAAAAAAGCTATATTTGACAGAGTAGAGGTAACTAAAGGTTCCAGGGCTGATTATGTTATTGTGACAACCTTGTAAAAAAAAAAAGACTTCATTCCCTTAGGCAGACAGATGGAAAGCTGGCACATATAGAAAAGGATTGAGAAAGACATCCAGATGACGAGAACTCAGGTAAGCAAAACAGATTTGTGATGAGACGACATCATCCCCCCCAGGCTGATGTGAGCTCAATCAAACATTCTGACAGTCTGTCAGGGAGGAGGAAACTTAAAAAGCGTGGGGGGGTGGTGAGGGACTGGAGGTTTGTACCTGAACTCTAACATCGTGTGGTAAATGTAAGATCAAACGCATGCTTGTTATCTACTACTCTGAATGAGTGGGCTTACTCTGTGAGAAAACTTTTCAGGATAGCTAACACTTCAACCTGTAGAAAGCACAGAAACAAGCACCCCGAAACTAAGGATGCTAAATGCCAGATTCTGATCATTCTTCAAATGTACAGTAAATGAGGACAGACATCTCCATACTTGTATACTTTCAGGGTCAATATCTGCTTTTTTATCTTACTAAACAATGTACGGTGCAGGTGCCAGTTAGAAGTCAAACAAGAAGCCATGTTGACCACCAATTCTGCATTATTCGGACATCATATCAAACAGATCAGACTTCCTTCCTCCGGAGCAAGCAGACTTTTACGGGTCGAGTTTCAACCTCTTTTTTTTTTTAATGCCATGCTCATTTTCTATCATCAGAAATCTGGAGTCTTTATATGATCCACCAAGATCCTTTCAGTTTCAAACAGAATACAGATTATTTCAACAGTGTGGGGGAGCAATAGACATGCTTCTGAAGAAAAGGCAGCTTTTTATTGTTTGTTCATCGTAGATATCTTTCTTTGGACTGGGTTTTTCCTCTATATCATGTTACTGTAGATCCTTTTACTGGGAGATAAAGCATGTGGGTGAAGCCATCAGACACCAAGTTGTTTGCGATCTCTGACAGATGGAGAAAAGGGTGACAAAAGCTGGTTTTAAATATTCACTAAAGTTATTTCTGGAAGCCCCATCGACATCAAAAGCACAAGGGAAGCTGGCAAATATTTGCTCATCAGAGCTAGCTTCTTTATTTTAGAAAAAACAACCATGATGTCTTAGAATAAACCACAAATCCTCAGCATAATGTTAAAAATGATTATTCAGCAAAAACAAGCTGAAGATGAAAAAAGATTATTCCACTCAGCTTAAGATATAATAGTGCTGTGACCAACTGGAAGGCAACTAAAGGCTTCAGTCCTCATTCTCTAAAACATAAGTAACTGTTAAGCCAGTCCTGAAGTCCCCCTCCACTAAATCTCCATCTCATCCCCACTAACATTTGTTAGCCCATCCTATCCTGCTCTGACCTGGACCGATAGTGAGAGTAACTCAGCGCTACATGTTTGTACCTGGAACGATTCTCAGAAAAAGAGAGATAAACAGTACAAGTTTGTACGTGCATGGATTATCAAGATTTCTGTTCTTTTCGCTCTCAGTTACTTTTAACTTCAGAAACCTCTTTCTTGGCTGCTGTCTGGATGTTGAGAGAGAGCCTGAGGCTCCGGGCTCATTCAGACTCACCGCTCATGTAAAACAGCGAATCAATAAACTGACCCACCGATAGAAATGTAGTGTCGTCCAGATATATGGTTGGAAGAGAATGACTTATCATCAGTCAAGTTGTATTTGGACAAAATTTGCAACGAGGCTCAATTAAAAAAAAAAAAAAAAAAAACTTTTAGAGCTGAGTCGCTTTTTATTCTTTTAAATTGGGCACAACAATGTTTCCAGAAAATGTTAAATGGAGAATAAACATAAAGAATTCAATATTCTAACTTTTTTAAAAACGGGGGACATAAGTAGACAAAGAAAAGTACTATTGGCAAATTGGCATGGCTGTTTTGTCTTAATAACAGTTTTCTTCAACACTGTATCTCACGTTCCCGTGGGATGAGTCCGTTTTTGTTTTTTTCTTAACGGCTTTTTTGTTTAGCTTTTTCAAGGGGAATATCTCTTACATCATGGGGCATTTGAGGTGGGGACTGACTTTAAATACTTGTTCCATCATGTCACGAAGACATGCTCCACTGTCGGTGAAATAATCCAGACGAATTTGACTTGAACTGTGCCTTCCCAGATCTAAAATTGCGTAAATCTGTCCATCATTCATATAATGTCTTGTTTCGTGGACTTTACCTCGGGTGTGATCATGAAACATCAGCAGCTTTCACTTTAGAATTGATCGAGTAATGACAACTTTCCCTCCCGGCACTCACCTAGACCTGATATGAAAATGCACCAACTTGCAAGCCCCTTTCATCCCGATGTTGTGCAAACAAAGTGGGCAAAGTGGGTTTGGGCATGAGGGAGTGAAAATGAAGAGAGGATGAAAAGATGTTGGCTGAGAGCCTGCGAAAAAGTTCTAGAGGCAGCGCTGAATTTATAATCCATCTGACAGCAACAAGCTCCGTTCCTCCCCGGAGTGACGTGACTCATTCTGCTCATACACACCCACAAACACCCCCCAAAAAAAAAGATACAGGCCATCGTTCTTGTGGATCTGATGCGGGTGGCCGGCGGACTGATGTGCGGACCCACCTTTGTGGTTTTGGTCTCGCAGGTGCTTGCTAGCAGAGTGTCGCACACCCCTTGGTCTTTAGCCGTGTTGATGCCGGCCGTGCACATGTTGTCCTCCAACACCGTCACGCAGCACTGCTCCTGCACGATCCTGTACGTAAAAAAACAGAAAAAACTCCATTAAAAAAAACATTAAAAACTGGATCCGGAACCTGTGAGATTCTGGGGCTTTGTGACACTTTCAAGCAGCGTACAGTGGGGTAAATAAGTATTTGACCCCTTGCTAATTTTGCAGGTTTGCCCACTTACAAAGAATGCTTATTTTTCCTCATCAGATGGTTATCCATTTTTATAAATTCATATGATGTGATTTTCTGGAATTTTCTTTGGGATTCTGTCTTTCACTGTTAGAATGTACATATGATTAAAGCTATAGATCGTTGCATTCTTTGTAAGTGGGCAAACCTGCAAAATCAGCAAGAGGTCAAATACTTATTTCCCCCACTGTACTTCTGGAGATTATATTTTATTAAACTGAAATCTCTGTCTGAAATCAAACCTTTACCCAGCATCATGTCTACTGGCTCACAGCGGGACAGTAGCTCTCCTGGAAGACTAAAACAAACCACACTTTTGCAATGAGCTCGCTACGTCCTGTTAGAAAACAGAACCTGGCTGACTAACAGTTACCAGTAACAGCTGCTGGTTCCCAGCCAGACGTATCAGTGGGGCCGAATCAGTCAGGTTCCAGGTATTTCCTCTTTTATTGAAGCTCTAGGATCTAAATATCCCTTGTGACGCGGTTTGCTGTAACTGCTATGCAATCAGCTAAGACATGATGCTGACTCTCACTGTCAGGACGATCTTACGCAAGACCCAGAGCGTAAAATCCACCCACTCAGACCTCTTTATCGACCCTTACCAGAAATTTCTTTCCACATTCGATCTCAAAATTCAAGTCGAGGTGCAGGCCATCTCTCCCGACATCCTATCCCATACATTTTTAAAAAAAAATTTCTAGCTTTTGCCGTCTGAAGTAGTCAGATTTCTTGTATTCCCCCCCCCCTCTATCCTCCCTCTATGATGTGTTTCATCTAAAATATATTTCCTGGATTTGGTAACAGCCTTCTTAACCTCCTTCATCCTTTTCCACCCCTAGTCCTTGCCCCTTGCCCTCCTCACACTATTATCTGGACGGATTTCGGATCGGCCGTGGAGGCTACGGTAAATGCGTTCGCCATCAGTGCTAAAAGCAGCAGAGCTCGCTGACTTAGGGGTCCCCGAACCTGTGGCAGAACACCTTCTAATATTACCGACAGACCAGTTATTACCCCCTCGCTATTAGTGTTTCCTGCCCTCAAGAGAAGTGAATAATGTGTCGGGAGATTTATGAGAGCGAGGTAAGGCAATCTCATCATAAGAAAGCGTGCGGGGCCAAATCCGTTGGGTCCAATATTGCATGTTGAGTTTCTATAGCGCTGATAAAAAACGTGGAACATTATGGAGTTTTTATGGACGTGCAAATCCCAAAGTGAGCCTTCGAATGAGGCCCTGTAGCTCTGAATCCCTGAGGGCACACAGGCACCTGCTCACCTGCACGTGGTTGATCCGGAAATGAGAGGAATGGATGCACAGTCTTTGTGGTCATTCCCATACTTCTGGCCATCTTTGCAACAGTCTTCCATTGAGACTTGCTCTGCATCTATAAATAAGAGAGAATCATGCAAAATGACTTTGTCTTTATCCGTGTACAAAAAATCTGAATATGAGAGACAAACACACTAAATAAAGACATAAAAATGTATGTTTATCATTGTTTAAGTGGGAGGCTGGGGACCTGAATCCACGCACTAAAGGAGATTAGAACGACTGCTTTGTGGTTGGTACTGTGCAATAAAAAATAAATAAAAATAGTCATCATCACGTGTTACAAAAATGATTCTGTTAAACAGAAGATTAAAGAAGATTAAACAACCCGAATTCAAATACCTTTTCCAGCCTTAAGGGAATTTTACAACAAAGATAATGGGTGAAGAATGTGCTGCTGCAGACACAAGAAAGGCGTTCTGACTGGAGTGCAACAAGCTCTGTGGCTGTTTATTCTTGTGGATTAAAGACCGTGGAATGTCTCAATTCTGTAAACAATCAGCCATCACTTTCGCATTAAGTGCTCTCACTCACTTGTGGTTGTTTTTTCTTTCTGTTTTGCCAATTACCTTGTCCAAGATAAGGGGGCAAAGCTATTATACATTTAGATTTATGCATTTAGCTGAAGCTTTTATCGAAAGCGACTTACAGAAAAAGGGTTTAACATTCAACTACAACTCCACTTACAACTTACCTTACCTTAAGTGCAATGTGCTAGAGGAGGATTTAACATTAAGGATTCAACATGCAAATATGACATAGATTACACAAGTACCATACATTGAATGCTAAATGCTATTAGGGAATAAGTGCATTTAGAGTTTTCAGGACAAGAGACTCTCAAAAATGCTGGGTCTTCCAGGATTTCTTGAAGGAGGAAAGACCATTTGATGCTCTGATAGTGCTTTTAAGGTTGTTCCACCAGTGTGGAACTGCAGATTATAGGAGTCTAGATTGACCTGTAGGCCGTGTTAGCTTGAGTGGGCGAGCGGTGGCATAGGGCTTTAAGAGTGTGTTGAGGTAACTGGGCTCAAATCCATCCAACACTTTCAGTGATTTCAATTTGATGCTAAGGGAAGCGAGTGGAGTTCAGTGGACAGGGGAATGAAGTCTGCTCTCTTTGGTTGGTCGAAAACCAAACCATTCTGGACCATCTGTAGCCGTCTCACAGCACAGACCGTAAGGCCTGATAGGAGGGCATTGCATTGGTCTAGGCGGGAGATGACTAAGGCCTGTACTATTATAATCCCACAGGGAGCAATGGTGAGTGGGTGGGAAACTCGTCGTAAAACAGATATTGTTGATCTAGGGTAACAGGACCCGAGCTGGTTCTGGTTAGTGGATAAGTGCACTGAAATATTGGGAGCAGGGATTGTGAAATACACTCAACAAATCCTTTTGTCTGAGACAGAGCGTCTGCTCCGGGAAGTCTGGCAGGAGGGAGCGAGTTTAGATAATAAGTTAGAGCCAGTTGGGAGGACAAGTGTCTGGAATCGTGGTCGTCAGTTTTTATGGGGTTTGCTTCTGTCTCCGAGAGGACTGGGAGAAACTTTAGAATAACCATTAAATCAAAACAGTCGCGCGGGCCGGAACATTCGCTAGGGCACAAAATCCCTGCGCCGATAATCCTGTGACAGCGTTGGAACTCTCCCTTTCTTAGAATAGTTGAGAGGTTACCGTAATTATAAGTTGGCAGCCAAGGGGCTGATTCTAGGATAAGATATAACAACAATGAAGCAGCTTAGAAGTGACGATCTGGTTCAAGGAAGCAAGAAGGAAAGCAAAGCCTACAATTACAACACTGCTGCTCCATTAAAGATGATTAATCTGGCAGACTCGTTGGTGTTACGGATTGAGGATTTATTGCTGGACAGCTATGTAAGCTGACTCACTACTGACTTCTGGAAGTCTGGCACATCTTCTGGCCAATAAACCTGGTAGAAGCTGAGTGAAATGAGATGGCATTTTAATAGCTTTTCGCGTGGGCCTACCAAGATGGCCCTCCCGAAAGTATCTCCGGCTTTATATGTTAGTAAAGTACTATCAGGACGTTTGAGGGAAAGCTTCGCAAAAACATTTGGCCCCCAAAAAGATCAATGACAAGGATAGAAAGTTGTATTCGAGCAAATTATTAAAGTGTTATTGTTAGAAGCAAAAACTTAATCTCAACCAATTCGGGGGATATATTGTGGCTATTTACATCAAATTCAGATTGTTTTCTATTGATGATCTCCTTGACATACAGCTATGTTTATAAATTCTCATATCAAGCCTTTATTAAAAGTGAGAACAGACTCTTTGCCAGCTGGAACAAGCTCCAACTTGGTAGGTCCCATCCACACCAAGGCTCATCCATTATTTCCACAGCAACTACAAGTATTGCCATAACCAGTAGAGGTCCCTTTTACCCCCCACTAAAAAGCATTTTCAGATCACTTTGGTCTGCAACCCATGGCCTTATGTCAGGGAGGAGAACCGTCTCCAGTCTGTGTATGTCTACATGACAGCAATAGCCGGTCCCATTTTCAGGCTGCTTCTTTTTATGGAGCTCTCTGCCCACAGCAGCTCTCGGGCCGATGCGTAATTATAACCCGTTTGGCGTCGCGGAGTCATTCCAGTGCCACCGCGGCCTGGGCTGCCCTGCTCTGGAAGCATCCTCTTACGATCTAGAAGCGCTATGAAAAACTGAGCGGCTTCTTTCGCTTTCTTATCAGGAGGCGCAAAAAACAAAAAACAAGGCTGCCTGTTGGCTGGGAGTACTGGGATGTCTTAGTGGAGCAGCACGTGGCTTGTCTGAGTCTAGACGCCTCATGTAAACAAAGCCTCCACTGGTGGAGCTCCGTACTACCAAAGTGGATGGCCCGTACAAGATATCGCAACGGGTGGGGGCCGTATCTCCTATCCAGCTGTACTCAAGGTCTTTTTGCCAGTTTTGATAAGCCTAAAGAAAAAAACTAACTAGAAGTTAGGCATTCTCTCATTTGAGAAGGGAAAGAAGGGGAAGAAATGTCCACATACATCACCCCACGCCTCGGTGGCCCTGCTGTGGGTGCTAAAGTATAAATCAGGCTTTGGTCTAGTCTAGACGGCAATCCACTCCTGGTGAGAGCGTGGTCCCACTTTCTGTTTTTTGACACAACATCCCCGCATACCAGGCCACTTGGCCTTTGACTTGCGGCGCGAAAAAGGACAGGCGGCGCAGGTAGTGAGGGCTCTCTCTTCAGCCCCAGCATGGCTGCACTTTTAACACCCCTCATGTGGAGTGACTGCCCACTTTACAGATCAAAGTCATTCAGGATGGGGCATAAGGGAAGCTGGGAAGGGAATACTATTCTTTACATGAGCTGAAATTCCCCAATGCCATCAACAGATTTTAACTTTGTATCACCAATCAGGGCATGCTATAAGCATATATAGACACAGAAAGACACAGAAATGTTATGCATTTGCGTTTAGGTGGTAAAATCCTAGAGGTTTTTTTAAACTTCTACTCAGATCTGACACACTTTGAAGCCCAGTGAACTGCTTTAATCACATGCCCCGACTAGTCCCCGGGACAAATCATCACCTCCTCGAGTCTCGCCCTGTTTGGTTCTGCCCGTAAAGTGGCAGGTTATCAAGGAACGCAACATCCACCGACTTCAGCAGGACGCACCGGAATTCACATTCTCTCTTCGCCTCGGGGCTCGTCTCTCCTCATTAAAAAGCCTCTCACATGTACAGCCTCTCAGACAAAAAGGTGGCTTACCTTGACCGAAGAGGACTCCGAGCAGGGAGCAGAGCAGCATTACGCGCAGAGCCATTGAATGGAGAGGAGATTCTGGGAAGGCAAAAAAAAAACCCGTGTCCGTGCGCAAGCTTTACCTCCCGGTGCCTCTGGATCCGCGAGGGTATAAGGAATAAGCGGCAGCGCCCCTTTAAACGAGAGAGGGACTGAGAGTGCGGAAAAGAGGTGGATGTGATGGAGTCGCGGTGCGCAGCGTGACTGGAGCGTCTAATTCTGGCACCGCGAGGGGCGGGCTGGGACCACAGACACCCACTTGTTGCTTATCAATACCCAAAACCCCGAACTGGCTCCGAAAGAAGGGCTATAGACAACGCACTTAACAGTGGGTCTCATCCAAATGAGATTTCAGGAGTTACAGATACAGGACTGTCTCAGAAAATTAGAATATTGTGATATGGTTCTTTATTTTCTGTAATGCAATTAAAAAACATGAAGTGTCATACATTCTGGATTCATTACAAATCAACTGAAATATCGCAATCCTTTTATTGTTTTAGTATCGCTGATTATGGCTTACAGCTTAAGAAACCCAAATATCCTATCTCAAAACATTAGAATATCGGATTTTTGAGTTTTCTTCAGCTGTACGCCATAACCAGCTATATTAAAACAATAAAAGGATTGCAATATTTCAGTTGATTTGTAATGAATCCAGAATGTATGACATTTCATGATTTGTAATTGCATTACAGAAAATAAAAAAAACTTTATCACCATATTCTAATTTTCTGAGACAGTCCTGTAGAAATATATTATTCCAAATATAAAGCCTGGCAAGGATCTTCCCTTAAATACCTTACATGTGTGAGACATTTGTGCGTCTTGTAAAATATAACACCTGAGGTACTGCCCCCCCCACGCACACACGCACGCACGCCCTCCCCTGAAGATTTGCAAGTGTCTTCAGGCCATTGTGCCCTGAAGTATGCGCCGTGCACACATGGAAATTGTCTCCCCATCGATGGCAGAGTAGACCTCTTGTGTCTGTGACTAACGATTGTAGTGATTGCTCAACATCTGGAACTGGTTTGGGGGTATTTAAAAAGAAAAAAGAGAAAAAAAAGACGTGTTGTGGCTATGCCTAGACCTTGAAAACCCAAATAAAGTTAATAGTAGGTAGCTGTCGGAAGAATAGGGAGTCAAATTGAGATTTTTTTAATGCATCTATATACAAATATATATGTTTCCACTCAGCTTTTTGCTTTAGTGATAAAGATCAGGGATGGATCATTTTAAAACCTGTCACAGTGACTTTGCATCCCCCCCTGCACAGTAGTATAACGGGTCCCTGTGGGCCTACAACTTTGTCCTTTTTTCTCCATTAATTAAAGCTTTTGCGACTGTGGCCCAACGCACACCGTCAGCCAGTGATGAAGGACTGAGAATGGCTGGGGTATCCAAAGAAAATAAATAAATAAGTTAGGCATATGTCTACCAGACTTGGCAAGAGGAGCAGAAATAATTGCTAGACTGCATTATAAACATTTTGTACCAACCGAAGCCCTCTGCAAATTCAATCAGTCTACTGACTCTGGGCATGGTGACAGAAAGAGGTTAAATGATCCTCTAATCAGAACCATATGTCTCCACCAGTAGTCTAGCCAGTCAAGAAACTTCACCGAGGACTTGTTATGATGACACCACAGGCATAAAGGAAAGCCCGCAAGTATATGACAGTTATAAATGAATAACTGCCGCGTAAAAAAAAAGAAGTCATATCTCATTCACTTCATGCTCTTCAATCTACCAAGAGCTGTTTTCTCTTAATAACGGCACTCTGTGGAGCAGCTCTCCTAAAGACCTAATCTTGATGGACCACATGGTGCCTTTTATTTAGCATAATCACTTCTAAACAGAGTAAAAGTGTTAGTGCAGCTGCAGACTAGCTGAGAGCAGTGGGGACATCAGTATAATCAACATCCTTTAGATGCCATTTTCAGTGTTTGGATCCAGTATTCCATTCTTTGGCTAAAACCTTTGAAAAACAAGGTGACAGTGTAAAAAAAATGGCAGAGAGCCTGACTGAGTACTTTTATCTACAAAGCTATCATGGTATCTGGTTTAGCTTTTCTCATTTTTTTTTTTTTTTTGCAGTTGCTTTGATGGGTTTGGGAGCTGTTCAGAATGTACCCACCTGACTCTGGTTTGGATGAATAAGGTATAAATTGTGAATGGATGGATCGTTACATCTGTTGAACACTCTACAAACATTGATATACATTTGGAACAAGATAAATTCAGTAGGATATTTGACTCCACGACTGAAAGTGTGTAACAAAGTAGCATCACAGTGCATGATCCTGAACCATGGAATATGTATAAGCCATTATGTTTTGATGCTGCATGATGGTGTACATGCATTACACCTGAAACAATTCAGGGAAAGGAGTAAAAGATGTTGTGAAACTGTGTTATTTAGCTGGAACTGCATAGTAAAGCTTTTGTCATAACCTCAGATTGAATTCTGGATATTTTTTAGTTCAGCAGGAGGTAATGATCAGTCTTTTCACAAACCAGAAATACAGCAAGATATTGTGCACTTGAAAGTAATGAATATTTTAAGAAAATAACTAAGACAGCAGTTTGATGGTTCCGGAAATATTTATAATCAGTAAAAAAGAGTCTTAAGATTGAGTTTCCTGTGGCCACCCCCCATGTAAGTGATGAGTGCCACAACCCCCTCTGAACTGTACCAGTAATCGCAACAAAGGTCAGCCATTTGCTGCTGACCCACCTCTTAATCTTATCTTTAGCTAATGTGGAAAGGGGATAATATGCCATTTTAAGATTGAGGAATGTCCAAAATGTTTCTCACTGCTCGTCTTCCCAAATGGCCAGCCCACTCACTCCTTCTCCACCAACCATTTAGTTTAGCAAAAAAAACCTGCCCTCCAAGCTAATGGATGGAGGAAATTTGAAATGCGAGCGAGGTCTCATTGAAATGTTGTTAATCTGGTGTGTGTGTGTGCGTTTATGGGGGTGCAGTTCAGATCCTTTGAAGCCCAACAAAGCCTGTCTTGCCACGTCTGTGTCAGCCTCCTGAGGGTCGCTAACGTGGCCAGACAGAGGAGGCCATGGAGGCCTCAAATGACCGGGGCTTAACGTAGCCCACAACCTTTTAAATAAAGGGTTAGGGTTACTCTCTGCTGAGGTTTTTTGGTTTTCTTTCAAAATCTTGACACAACACAAAAAACAAAAGGCACGGGATGGGCACATAACACATAGTATTCAGTGTTTATGCAGTTTATATTTTCAATGCTTGCAACAGAGCTTTTTCATTCATGAGTTCATCATCCTTGTTGTATGAGGAAGTGGTTCATGTTACCATTCCAGAAGTTGCATCTCATTTACTTGTTTACAATATATCGGTTAGCTCAACACAGGTTCAACCTATTGTCACCAATTAGCCATAGCTAGCTTTAAGGTCAAAGGTTAACATTTGATTGCTCTAACTACCATTTTTATTGCAGTAAGAGTTCTTTTTTCTCATGAATTCTTCATAAAATCTCATCGAACATTTTCTCTTGCAATACAAGTTAAAATAAAGTAATTTCACTGGTCTATGGATACATCTTTTTTTTTAACCAATTTGATATACTTTTCTAATTTTCTAATATTTCTAATTTTCATAAGCTTTGCAGGTATTAAATCTAAGCTGACTGAGATGTGGAAATAATAATGATCGGAATGCTGAAGTTACACTTATTAAGGTTAAAGCTTGATTAACATACCAAACCCTTTATCTAGGAGCATTTGGAGGCAGACACTGATGGCCCAAAACTTACCTTTATCACCTGGTTTCTGCAATCAAGCTTTGGAGCTTTCAATAGATCGAGCTTTGGATAGGACTACCAGAATAGTAGCTGCTTATAAAAGTTCCTATGATGGGAATGCACTTGTTCAGGCTTTAGCGAGCATGAGAAATATCCAAGATATCCCCAACAGATTTATTATCACTTAAGTAATTAACATAAGTTCCAATGTATCTTTAATCCGCAATACAGTTAAAGATGATTTTGCTGTTTTCATTGTCATTTTCTTTTTAATTTTGCACTAAATTGCAATTTAGTGCTGGCGCAGGTGCTAAACCTCTATATACTGGACATACTGGGATGTGCTGAGACACACTTGAATGAGAGAAGTTCTGAGTCTGGAGGAGAAGCAGATGCTCCTCAAACTCAAAACTCAAATGTCATTAAATATTCAGTGTTGAAAACGTGGAAGAATAAAGAAATATGGAAGAGACTGTGGCTATACTGTCTTAAAACAGGATTTTTGTTTTCAGTACGAGCCTTAAGTCCGACAAAAACTCAGCAGGGCTTTGATAGAACAAATTCTACTATGACTCAAGAAGATCTGTCACAGTGGAAAGATTGGTTGGTCCCTTTACGGTCAGCGTGTCATTAGCACATACTTACAGAATTTAGACAGGGAGAGGCAAGTAATAAAACTTCATACCCAGATGTTGAAGTCAAATCCTGATTAATAACTTCGGTTCATGAAATATTGCATGTCAGCACATTGTATAGCCGTTTCTACTCTAACGTTCAACGTTGGTACTAGCAGTGCAATTAAAACGCTCGAAATTCTGTCAGCAGGACAGTTCACTGTATATTTACAGGGAGTGATTAAACGTGCCCACTCAGTTTCTGCCTTTACCGATAAATACTGCATATTACATGCAATTAAAACTCCAATTACAGTAACCGCATGTGACATTAATCCTGTGAACTCTTCAACTCTGTCCGGTTGCATTTCCAGACTCACCGAGGGGGGGCCGCGGGCTCCCAAAAGACTGAAACCGGCTCAGAGCAAAACAAGTGCAGCAGCAGGCTCTCACACCTCTGTGATGGTGGAAAAATACATCCAAGTGTCTGTCACCTAGACTCCAAACACAGATTTTACGTGTTAATTTAGAAACCATTATGTTGCCTCTCCAGCCAACATCTAATTACGTTTCGGGCTATTATCCCATTTGAAATAGGGTGCAACAATGTTCTGGTAATGTCTAGCTGGGTGCATTCCTTTTTAGTTTTGTTTTTTTGGCATTACATCTAAGCGGCTTTTTTTGTGTTTGTTTTTATGTGGAGTACTAACTTCATACTCAGTGAAGCTGGCTGTTCTGCTTCTCTTATTGTAGTTGAAATTCAGAAAAACAAACATGAAAGAGGTGAGCAAAAGGCTAGACAATGATCCGAGTGAAGAATGTTCCGGACATTGACCAACCAAAA